GGAGTGAGGAAAAGAGGGGGAAAACAGAGGTGTAACATGGAAGGACCTGCTTGCTGTTGTTGGGGTTTTCTGTCCCGCCTGGTACCCCCAGCTGTTTAGCCCCAAATAAAAACACACATAGGTCCTCCATAAATTATAATCTGATTGGCCCATTAGCTCTAGCCTCTCACTGGCTAACTCTCACATCTTGATTAACCCGTTTTTCTGATCTATGTTAGCCATGTGGCTCAGCACCTTTTTTCAGTGGAGCAGATCACATCCTGCTGCCTCGGTGGTCTGGGCAGGATTGGGAGGAGTCAACTTCCTCCTTCCCAGAATTCTTCTGTTCTCATTACATCATTTCTATTTCCTGTCTGGTTTTCCCACCTATATTTCCTACCTGGCCAATCAGCATTTATTTAAAATATGATTGACAGAATACAGACAATTCTCCCGTACCACAGAGGGAGTGAATAGTCTGTCAGTCTTTACAGTCACTGTAGAAATGGAAGTGCCATCATCTGGAAACCTAGGGGAATCCCTTCCCATCCTTCTTCTTGGCTTGGACTTACTTCTATCCCCTTCCCAGACTTGGTGCTCTCAGGCACCTCACTAGGGATTGCGACCATACCATGGTCTGGGTGAGCTTGAATCCAAACTGAGTTGTATAGTTCTAGCACCCTGTTACTGCTGTCTTGTTCTGTTTTTGTTTTTTACATGCTTGATTTTTTGGCTTGGGCTTATCATCCCCAAGTAAAGAAGTAATCTTAGGAGGGGTGCAATGGTAAATTATTTGTCACAAAAACTGTATCAGTGAAGGCTGGGTGGTAGCTATGGGGGTAAAGTGTTTCTATGAAAGCCTAGGGAATTGAGTTTGGATCCCCAGTAGATGTCACTGGCCTTTAACACTAGTATAGGAGGGCAGAAGCAGGAGGATCCCTGGAGCCTCCTGGACAGGCAGTCTAGATAAAACCAAAGGTCCATGTCCAATGGGAGAACCTTTCTAAAAGTAAGAAAGGGAAGTGACTGAAGATACTCACCATCAACATCAGGTCTCCATCCTTGTGCATCTGTACGGGTGAGTACCTCCTGCCCCCAACATTCACAGATACAGACACACAGACACATACAGAGAGAGAGACACACACACATTTATACACACACATACACACACAGGATGCTTATAATGAATAACAGAAAAAAATGTTTAGAAAATATACCACATGATGAAGAACTTTATCTAGAGATAAAAATGCAAAGCACAAGAAACAACTGCCAGAGTTGAGATCCCCAGCACTGTGTAAACACTGGGTGTGCTAGCATGTGCCTGTAACTGGCTGTGGCAGGATAGGGAGCAGAGATAAGGGTATATTTAGGATTTGATGTCCTGCCAGCTTAATCTGTGAACTCTATGTTCAGTTAGAGACTCTGTCTTATGAACTAGAGAGTGCCTTTGTGGGCATCTGAATGTACCAGCATACCCACACAACAGTAACTGAACATAGAGTTTCTACTCACACAAACAAATGTATAATGCACGCTTACACAGACAGACAGACATACAAGTATACATGTACTCACATGTACACATAGAGAAATAATACATTATTATAAAATAAAACTTTTTAAGAAGTAACATACTTCTTAAATTGACAAAGACCATTTAGGAAAAACATATAGTTGACACTGTGCTTAAGGTTTAGGGACCTAAGGTCAAAGCCAAAAATGTAGATGTTCATGAAAGCATGAAGTATGGAGTATGTTTAGGTTACCTGTGCTGAAAATCCAGTATCATATGGAAGAAAGTTTTGATAACAATGGAATGAATTTACCAAGGTCTCAGAGTACACTAATACAAAAGCCATTGCTTTTGAACACTAACAACAAATACTTATAAATCAAAATTGTAGGTGATAATTCTACCTACAGTAATTTGGGAAGTATGAAATACATAATGGCAGTCTATAGTGTACAAGAAACGTGTACAGAATATAAAAACATTGTCCAGAGATCTCAAAGAATATGTAGCATGTGTGGATAAACATGCTTTGTTTGAAAATCAGTGTTCTTTTTATTTTGTTCATTTTATTTTATTTTGAGATAGGATCTCACTCTGCAGTCCTGGCTGGCCTTAGATTCATAGTGATTGAGCTACTTGCTTCTGCCTACAAGTACTAGATTAAAAGATGTATACCATCATGTCTGGCTATGAATTAGCTATTTTAAGGTTTTAGCTCTTTTAAAATTTATCTATAGATTCAAAAAACAAACAAAAAAGGTTTTATGGAGTTGATGAGCCAGTTCAAAACTGAGTATGGAAACACAGTAGCACAAATCAGCTGAATATGCTTTGGATAAGAATATGGTTCAAATATCATCACTGCATGATTTCAAAGTTTATTATAAAAATAGAGTACTCAAAACAGTGCAGAGGTCGTGGTAGGAAAACACACAGAGAAGCCAGTGGTACAGAGCATGTAAAACAGTAAAGTATGGTTAAGGGGCAACAGCAACCTTACTAGGCTGTTGAAACAATTGGATGTCCACATGCCAAACTAGGAACTTACTGCACGGCCTGCAAAGAATCCAAAACAGTCATAGACCTCAAGGTAAAACCTGGAACTGAAAACTTTCTGGACCAAAAGGCATAAGAGAAAGTTTTTATAGTGTTGAATTAGGGCAGTGAGTACTTAGACATAATGGCTGAAATATGAAAACTATGATGAATGCTTAATAAAATCCCAGAGACAGATATTGGGGTTCAACCTGAAGACCAGAAAAGCAAAACAGCCAACCATTGACTCTTAACTCTACCTCAGTCTGAAAATGGTAATCCTGCCACCAGAAATCCTCAGAATGAGACCTGTCTCCTCCCATCTTATATTCCTCTCTGGTGCTGGGATTAAAGGAATACACCACTACTGCCCTGTTTCTATGGCAAATAATGTGGCTACAGGGATTAAAGATATGTGCCACCACTGCCTCATCAGTATGGCTGATCAGTGTGGCTGTTTTACTCACTGATTTTTGGGCAAGCCTTATTTATTTAATTACAAATAAAATATCACTACAAAACAGACTTTATTAAAATTAAAAATATCTGTTTTGCGATGTCTATTTTAAAAACAACAAAAGACAAGCTGTAACTAGAATAACAAATAAACAAACTGTGGTAGTTGAACGTATTTGCCCCCATAAGCTCATAGTGAGTGGTACTACTAGGAGGTGTATCATTGTTGGGGTAGGTTTGGCCTTGTTGGAGGAAGTGTGTCACTGTGGAAGCAGACTTTGTTTGAGATCTCATATATGCTCACACCTTTTCCTGTTGCCTGCCAGTCAAGATGTAGCTCCTTCTCCACTCTCAGATCCTTTCCCAGCACTATGTCTGCCTGTTTGCAGCCATGTCCTGCCACAATAAAAACAAACTACACCTCTGAAACTATAAGACACCTAATTAAATGCTTTCCTTATAAAAGTTACTGTGGTAATAATGCCTCTTCCCAGAAATAGAAACCCTAACTAAGAAATAAACAAAATCTTTTGTTTCATGATGGAGGAAGGTCATTGGTTAATTAATAAAGAAACTGCTTGGCCTGATAGGTTAGAACATAGGTGGGTGGAGTAAACAGAACAGAATGCTGGGAGGAAGAGGAAGTGAGCTCAGACACCAAGCCTCTCCTCTCCAGAGCAGACACCATGCAGCTCCTCTCCAGAGCAGATGCAATGAAGCAAGCCGCCAGGTAAGACATGCTGAATCTTTCCAGGTAAGACTGGTGCTACACAGATTACTAAATATGGGTTAAGGTAAGATGTGAGAATTAGCTATTAAGAGGCTAGAACTAATGGGCCAAGCACTGTTTAAAAGAATATAATTTGTGTGTTATTTCGGGGCATATGCTAGCTAGGGAGCCAGGAGCCAGGCGGCAGGAAAGCAGCCCGCAGCTCCCTTCTACAGTTTCATATCAGGCTGTTTTTATTCTCAAATGTGTAAATCATTCAGATTAAAAACCCAAGAAAACAAAATTCTCAAAATATGTACCCAGTTATTTTATCATAGAAAGTGTATAGATAGTTAATAACATGAAAATAAATACAAGATTATTTGCAATTTAAGAACTTTCAAATTAAAACCGCAACTATACATGGTTGTATACCTATAAGAATAGCTAAAAGTCTGGAGACATAGCTCAGGAGTTAAGAAAGCTGGCTGTGCTTCCAGAGGACCTGGACTCAGTTCCCAGGACCATGAGAATGGCTCACAATCATCTGTAACTCCAGTTCTAGAAGATACAGTGCCCTCTTTTGACCTCCTTTGGTGGCAGGCATGCATGTGGTACATAAACATACATCCAAGGAAAGAACTATTACAGATAAAATAAAATCTGAGAATTAAAATTTTCAAGAATTCATTAAAGTGATGATATTGACCATACTGAGTTATGGTGTGTGATGGGGGAGAGTCTTCTGTTTTGAGTTGTTTTCATTGGTTAAATAAAGAAACTGCCTTGGCCCTTTGATAGGACAGAAAATTAGGTAGGCGGAGTAAACAGAACAGAATACTGGGAGAAAGAAAGCCGAGTCAGGCGGTCGCCATGATTCTCCCACTCCAGACAGACGCAGGTTAAGATCTTTCCTGGTAAGCCAGCTCGTGGTGCTACACAGAATATTAGAAATGGGTTAAATCAATATGTAAGAGCTAGCCAATAAGAGGCTGGAACTAATGGGCCAGGCAGTGTTCAAAAGAATACAGTTTCTGTGTAATTATTTCGGGTAAAGCTAGCCATGCGGGAACTGGGTGGCGGGAACAGCCCACTGCACTCCTTACTGCAGGTGTGGATGAAAAGGAACTGGTTCATTTCTACACTCCTGGTGTGAATGCAAAGTGTATTAACTTTGGAAAAACATTCAGCAGTTTCTCAAATCACTAACCATACATCTATGTACTGCAGGAACTGAACATTACACTTATGGGTGCTTATGTGAGAAATCAGATCCTGGGTTTAAACAAAGACTTGCTCATGGACATTCATAGCAGCTTTATTAGTAATTGAACCCAACCTTATACAACCCAAATGACATCAACAAGTACAAAGATAAACAATGAGCAGTATGTACCCATAGGGGAATGCTCAACACTGAAAATGAATGAGAAACTGATGAAAACACTGAGATGGAAATGTATGCCTACCAAAATAATAGCATCAAGTGAAAAAAAAAAGCTGGACCAAAATCACATAACAGGTAATTCCATTCACATAAACTGTACGAGTTATGTGTGTCAGTGCACTCCTTTGATCTTAGCACTTGAGAGTCAGAGGCAGGAGAAACTCTGAATCAGAGATCAGCCTGGTCTACATAGTGAGTTCCAGACCAGCCAGAGCTACATAGTGAGACCCTGTCATAAAAAAATATATATAAACTCTATGAAATGCAAGCTGAAAACAGATCAGTGTTTGCTTTAGGAAGGAGACATTGGGAAGGGACAAAAGTGACAGATATGTTCATCACCTTGGCTATGGTGATATGATCACCACAGTTTACATTATTTACAAATTCAGTTTAGTGTAAGTTTATTACACAGCAAAGCTACCAGTGAAAAATTATCCCTGTCTCATCTTCCCAAGGATGCATCTCTCTCTCTCTCTCTCTCTCTCTCTCTCTCTCTCTCTCTCTCTCTCTCTCTCTCTCTCACACACACACACACACACACACACACACAATTGCTGGCCTAAAACAATGAACTGCTTCCTTTGAAGTGGAAAGGTCTCGGAAGTATGTGGAGAATTGAAGCTTTGAAAATAGAAGCTTCTAAGTCCATCTGTTCCAAAAGAACACTATTTTTATATCCAACTCATACTGCTCTAAGAACTTGTCCCAAAACTTAGTTTCTTCCATTTTGGTAATGTACGTTTCTGAATCATAGCATAGAGACCAAGGAGAGGTTGTCTACAAAGGATGTGTAACTTAAGAGGGAAAATGTCTGTTTTTTTTTTTGGGGGGGCACATATTATATCATTCTAAACAATACTATTTTAAAGGGTTAAATTCACAATACTGTTGTTTGATGGAGAAAAGACGAAGAAATAACTTATGCAAGAACTAATCACAGTGACTGGAGAGGTAGTTCAGGCTTAAGAGCACTGGCTGTTCTTCCAGAGGACATGAGTTCAATTCCTAGGACCTATATAATGTCTCACAACCATCTGTAAATTCCAGTTCCAAGGGGACAGTATGCTCACTTCTGATCTCCAATGGTATCAGGCACTCATGTGGCACACAGAAATACATGTAGGCAACCCTCTACAAGCATAAAATAAAATTTAAAAACTGCAAACATGTAAATGGTGCAGTCTGGAGATGAACCACAGTTACAAAGATCATGCTGGGGCTTCAGCAGGGACACAAGTCCCTGCTTGCAGGGTTGCTTTTCCTCTGTGCTGTTTCTTTGCATGCTGCTTCTCAGACACACTTTCCTCCTGAGCCTTCTGCCTGCACTTTAGCAGGGTCTCTCTATATTCTGCCTTCCATCCAGCTCCAAAAGACACTCTGAGGTATAGGAGACTGATATTTCAGGTCAAGCAGGAGTCATCATTTAAAACAGGGAAGGGATGAAGGATTGCAGGTTGGCTGGGAGGCTTGGAAAGAGCAAAGCTGTTGGTAAACAATTGAACTCACAACGTTGGAAACAAAGATGTCAACCAACTGGCTCCCCAGTCTCTGCTGCTGGTCCTTGCCTCTGCTGAGGTGAACTGAAGGTAGTAGTTTGCTGACAGCTGTCAGGGAAATCATGTTTTACATTCAAGTAAGCAAGAATAGCTTAAATTTCATAACAGTCCAAGGTCTTCTCCTGTTCTTCCAGGATCTTTAAATTCAAGGCATTGGCAATAGCTTTGCCTGCTTCTGGCAAATACTGAATGCAGTTAAAATGCAGTTGTCAGCAAAAACGGCTCCCTCTTGAATGTACACACAGGTGCCTGATGGATGCGTCTGGGATGGAATCCCCCTGATCTTAAATCTGCAGGTGGAGAGAAAAAGGGGGGGGGATGGCATTTAGCATCATTGTGTTAGAAACGAATTCTGTCTCAGAGTTTGAAATCAGCAATAATGTGAGAGGAAATGCCAGCAAAGGTCTGAAGAGGAAAATAGCGATTTCTCTTGGGACTTTATTGATTCCCTACTCTTCAATCTGACAGGAAGAGGATATATGTGGCATGTGACAGTGGCTTCAAAACAGGTCCAGTCAGGAATAGAACACTCACAATGTGCCCAAGAGGAGAAATGGACTTACAGGTGAGGACGCAAAGGAGAGCCATTCTCCCACAGCCAGGGTTCGTTTTGTTTCTTCCGGTGCAATCCCATCCAAAATGGTGAGGTGGAATGGGAAGTTGCTTGCGAGATGAAGTTCTGCGAAAAGATACAACTCTGACCTTAGATTCATCAAACTAATTATCAAAAAGATCTTCTGCATCCCTTAGTGGTTTAACGACAATGTTTACAGAAGCCTACTGAGATCACACATCCTATATGCCCAAGGCCAAGTATGCAATCAGACAGAAAAACAGCTCTTTTCCCTCTCAAACAAGTGTTCCTCCCTGTGGTGGTTAGAATGAAAATGTCCCCAGAGACTCATAGAGAGTGGAAGTGGAGTTTTGTTGAGGTTTCAAAAGTTCAAGTCAGGCCCAGTGTTACTCTCTACTTGCTGTCTGTGGATCCAGATGTAGAACTCTCAGCTCCTCTCCAGCACCATATCTGCCTGTGTGTTACCATGCTTCCTGCATGCAGATAATGAACTAAACCTCTGAAATGTGAGCCAGCTCTAATTAAATATTTGTCCTTCTAAAAGTTGCCATTTGTCGGGGTCCAGTGCTACAGCCATGATCATGGCATCCATTAAAGGCAATAAAACTCTAAGACACTGTCTCAGGAACCTAAGCCTGATTATCATCACCGCAAATGACTCACCAGATCATCTACGCTATTAATTTGTAGCATCTGAGCATCCAAAGACAGGCAAGTTTCTTGGCTCTTTGTCCAGTAAGATGACTCTGAAGAGAACAGGTAACAGTTTTCTTTATGCCACAACCAGTCTTCTGGGCAAGGACCTAGGAAGTATTAATAGAACAGATGATTTCTGAGTAAAAACATTTCTTAAGTTCTTCCATAGAATGACACCCACATTCTACAAATACCAGAATGGTCAGAATCTTTGTTTTCCATTTTGTTAAATCATTTTTTACATTTTATTTTTCTTTTATGTATATGGGTATTTTGCCTGCATACATGTATGTGCAAAACATGCATGTAATACTCTCAGAGGCCAGAAAAGGGCATCAAATCCACTAGAACTGAAGTAGCAAATGGTGATGAGATGCTATCTGGATGCAGAAAAACCAATCTAAGTCCTCTGGAAGACCAATCAGTGCTCTTAAAAATTGAGCCAACTTTGCAATCCTTATTTCCCTTTATACATTTTTCTTTTATTGAATATATTTTTTCATACAAGGTATTTTGGTTATGATTTCCCCTCCTCAAACTTCTCCCACTTCCTCTTTCTGTCTTTTATGTTTATAAAAGAAGAAGAGAGTGCTTCAGAAGAAGTGCTAAAACATGCTGATTTTAGCAAACTGGGTTGACTTCCATTTAGCATTTCATTTCATTTTTGTTGTTGTTGTTGTTGTTGTTTTGCTTTATTCTGGTTTTCTTTTCAAGGCAGGATTTCTCTGTAGCTTTGGAGCATGTCTTGGAAACTAGCTCTCGTAGAGCAGGTTGGCCTTGAACTCACAGAAATCCACCTGCCTCTGCCTCCTAAGGCATGCACCACCATCACCCAGCTTTATTTCCCTTCTTAAGGAATAAATTGGTATGTAAGTTTGGAATTTGATATTTTTTAAAATTTTGTTTGAAATTATGAAAATAAGAGTTAAAGAACTGGATGTTTCTTCAGCCACTCTGTTATTACAAAACTAGACATGCATTTAAAAAACTGTATTTCTCTGAATAACAGAATTAGTTTTGGTTACTTTGTCTTCTTCTTTTATCCATGTGTTGTCCAATACAGTCACCAATGTGGTTTCTGAAATGAGGTAAGTTTGCAGTCACCTGTTTTTGCATTTAAAGTACACATGTGATTTTGAGAGCTTCATCAGATCCATGCATCAGAACAGACTAGCCTGTTGAGAACCTTATAGCATCATGTTAAATTAATATTTCACATGCTTGGGCTAAGTAAAATATTTCACTACAGTTAATTTTGTTTCTTTTTCTTTCTTTAAACATGTTCATGCTAGAAAAATTTCGCATAGAAACTCACATTCTTTTGAACAAGTTTGATTCAGGTAGAATTTTGTATTGATATAAAATGAGCATTCTCAATGTCAGTAAATAAGATGTTCTCAGCAGCAAATCTGATGGGGAGTCCAGCAAACCCACCTCTGGGAAAAGGCAGTAGGCAAAGATGTTATCAACATCTGTGTGTTGACAGCTTTCAGATCATCAGCATGGTCACCACCAACCTACTGTGGTGGTAACACATAAGAAACTGCCTTTTGCTCTATAGTGTGACCAAAATGGGGAAAAGTCCTCGATGTAGGTGGGTCATCTGTCTATCTGTTGCTTTCATTCATTAATTAATAAAGAAACTGCTTGGCATTTGATAGGACAGCAGCTTAGATAGGTGGAGTAGACAGAACAGAATGCTGGGAAGAAGGGAAGTGAGGCAGACTCTATAGCTCTCCTCTCCAAGATGGATGCAGGTTAAGAGCCTTCCCAGTAAGCCACCACCTCGTGGTGCTACACTCATTAATAGAAATGGGTTAATCAAGATGTGAGAGTTAGGCAGTAAGAGGCTAGAGCTAATGGGCCAAGCAGTGTTTAAAAGAATACAGTTTCCGTGTAATTATTTTGGGTAAAGCTAGCCATCCAGGAGCAGGGCTGTAAGAAGTGGCCCGCCGCTCCACACAACAAGTCCTTACAAAAGTTAAATTATAATTGCAATTTTCATTGGAACACAAATACACCTGATAAATTTATACAAGAAAGCTTTACCAGAAAGGCAAATGTAGACCTAATATAGTAGTTCTTGCCTGCAAGCATACAGGAGACTAAGGCAGGAGGAATTCCTAGAGTTCAAGGCCAATCTGGTCTAAATAATAAGTCTTGGGCCAATCTGGGCTACAGAGTGAGAATCTATATAGCACAACAAAAATGTGTACATAAAGGATAGAATAGAAAATTTCTGGAAAAATGAAAGCAGAACGTAAAATAGAAAAGGCATGTTAGAGTGTAAAGCAGAGTGTGAAACTTCCTTCATAGTTTGTCTAACCCCATCACAGTATGTAAATGTAAATAAATCAGGTTTTTGTGGACTAAAGAAAAGGTCTAGACAACTTGCCTGTATTATAACAAAATGAGAAAGGCATGCCTCTCTATGTGGTATTAAAATCAACTATATTTCTTGTGTGTGTGTGTGTGTCATCATATTGCATCTACCATTACATATAAACTTTAATAAACACAGATATTATTTATCAAGTGCACAAACTTCTGGAAGTCCTTCAAATATGTAAACTCATTTAAGGTTTGCGAAACTCAGAGATTGACTCCACTAATGTCTTCATTTGAAGATGAAGAAATCAGGGATTTAAAACTGATGTTGACTATGTATTTAGTATCTGTGATAGAGCTCCTCATTACCCTTGGTTGTCAAATTGTCTGGATCTGAAATGAACTAAAAGCCAACCTTCCTGTGAGTGATTTTCTTGATCAGATTACCTGAAGTGGGACCTCCCCTAAATATGGGTGACCCTTTCCTGTGTCAGCGCAGAGACAGAGAAAGAAGAACATTGTCATTTGTGCCCATGTGCATTTATTTTGCAGGCAAGTTCATTGATTACAAGGTGGCATTCATTCCCTGATATTATAACAAGCTGTTTCTAGCTTCAAAAATAGAGTGAAGCTTAGTAGCTTGTAGAAAGAATTCTAATCAATCTTAGTAATAAAAACTCAGATTCAGATATTAGGGGGTGATAATTGAAAAAGCAGAGAAGCAGTGCAGCCAGACACTAGTTCTTACCTCTAAGAAATCCTTAGACTAAATGGATACCTCCTGTCTCTACAAGTCCTCAGACTGAACACCTTGAGCTCCTGTCTCCTCTGCCGTATATTTCTCTTTCTGCCCAGCCATATGACTCCTGTCTCCACCTTGAAGTGGGATTCCCCTCTGTATACTATGAATATATTTTAATGATAATAAAGAAGCCGTTTTGGCCTGTGGTAGGGTAGAATATATGTAGGTGAGAAATCTCAACAAATGCAGGGAGAAAGAAGGCAGAGTCAGAAAGATGCCTTGTACCTATTGAAGGAGAAAGACACCAGAACCTTACCAGTAAGCCACAGCATGAATATACACAGATGAATAGAAATGGGTTAATTTAAGATACAAAAGCTATTTAGGAATATGCCTGAGCTGTTGACCAAACAGTGTTGTAATTAATATCATTTCTATATGATTATTTAGGTCTGGGCATCCAGGAAACATAAGTGCAGTTTCCATTCACATAATCACACCCCGACATTTGGCTAGAATATCCACATAAAGGCAAAAAAAAAATTTTTTTAAGGGGGGCTTCTAGATCCACAAAAATTGGAGTCAGTTGGAGCTTCTTGGTAGCTGAAGGTTTTAAACAGACTCAGTTTGTTGTTGGGGAGCAGAGGCACAGCTCCTTTACAGAAGTCTTCCTGACAGCTTTAGCAGCAAAAACTGTGTGGCTCCTTTAAGAAAAAGCTCCCTGGATCCTGTTTGTGACACAAATGGCTCTGTATCTTTCCGGAGGTTTTGTTAAGGAGCACTTGAATGGGGTTTGTGGGAAGCATGCTGCAAGTTATTTGGTGGAAGCATGAGCCAACTACTTCCCAGAGTTGGGGTGGTAAACATGGCTCCCAGAGCTGGTGGCAAATGGATCTCTGCCATGCTGGAAAGCTGAGCAGAGTAGAACCAACAGCTAAACCAGCTGCTCTTGACCTAGACATGCTTTCTTTACAGTTTCCAACAACAATCAAAAAAGGATTACAGATATACAATGAAGATAGATTCAGACAGAAATAAAGCTCTGGAAGGGTCATAGCGTCCTCAGAAAATGTACGTAGGCCTAAGAAAAATAAAAAGGAAATTGGTATAGGCACCTATAGAAAGAAATAGTTTTAAATAATGAAACAAAGCTTTTAAAGAGACAGTAAAAATAATATAAAACAAATATGCCACATAAAGATGGAATCACACAGAAAGTCTTGATTATATATATTATTGTGCCTTCTTTGGATTTTTAGTTAGTTAGCTAACTGCTGAGAGATATTTGGTTATGGTGGCTGCAAATCTAAACCAACACAAAGGTATCTTGACTTCAAAAATTGAGTCTAAGGATATGTTACTTTGGAAAAGAGGTTCTACTTTTGTTTCCATAGAAGATGAGAACCTATGGAATACTTCCAGGCTAATGTGGTTTGTATAGTTTTTTTTTTAGTTATGATAAAACAGAAACTAGATATAAAACATTAGACTCACAAAAAATACTGTATCTGTAATTCTTGCTTCTACCTGATTTGTTATGTATAATTTTATTATGTTAAAATTAAAACCTTCCGCTGGGCGGTGGTGGCACATGCCTTTAATCTCAGCACTCGGGAAGCAGAGGCAGGCGGATCTCTGTGAGTTCGAGGCCAGCCTGGTCTACAAGAGCTAGTTCCAGGACAGGAACCAAAAACTACGGAGAAACTCTGTCTCGAAAAATCCAAAAAATAAATAAATAAATAAATAAAACCTTCCTTTGTATTTAGACAGTAGAGGGGAGTTGGTGTGGGAGTCCTCTTTGTATGCTTTGAATGTATTTTATTAGCATTGGTTAATAAACAAGCTGCTTTGGACAGTAGCAGGGCAGAATATAGGTATGTGGGAAACCTAAACTGAATGCAGGGAGAAAGAAGGCAGAGTCAGGCAGATGCTGATGAAGAAAAATGCCAGAACCTTACTCGTAAGCCAAAGTCTTGTGGCAATACACAGATTAACAGAAATTAGTTAATTTAAGATATAAGAGCTAGCTAGGAATATTACTGTTGGTCAAACAGTGGAATTAATATAGTTTCTGTGTGATTATTTGGATCTGTACAGCTAGGAAACATAAGCAAGGTCTCCATTTACACTACCTTTCTTGTGGTGTTGGGATTAAAGTTGTGTGGCTCCCAAATACTGGTATTAAAGGTATAAGCCACCACTGTCTGGCTCTGTTTCTCTTTGGCACTCGAACAATTTAATGCAGCCCAGGGTGCCCTTGAAGTCACAGAGATCCATCTGCCTGTTCTCTATGGGTAACTAGTGGCTCACCCTGCACTGTTATCTTCAGGCAAGCTTTATTTGTTATAGCATGAACAAAATATCACCACCATGAATACTCCAGGCCTTCACTACCAGACAATGACAGTTAAGACATCCAGCCTCACAGACCAAACAGCTGTTACATTCTCCACCCACCCAATGAGAGATAACCATTATTCATTCCCCAGATATATTATGCAAACCATTCTAAAAAATCCGTTCTTAGTAAATACTCATCCTGATGGTCCTGCTATTACAGCAGCAGTAGCCCACACCCTTTCAAACTTCTCTGAGGATGAACTAATTGAGGAAATAGTCTGCTGTGAGCCCAGGGTTTGGGGACCTAAGTGGAACCTGCCATTTTATCAATCTATTTGCATTTGCATATTTGTTTTAAAAAAAGCACCAATTCTGATGCTAAATGCAGAGATCTATCTTTTTGAAGACTCTGCTTCTCCTTATCTTCTAAGCAAATCATTCTATTGATCTGTTTGTAAGACAGAAAGAAGCTGCCTCAAATTTGAGAAAAGTAACATCGCTTTTTTCACTTGGGATTTCAGCACTACAGTATTTTCTTTCTTTTTTTTTTCTGAGACTGAGAAAGTTTATTGCAAGGAATTAGACACTTTCAAGAAACTCTCCTTAAAGCAACATGATTAATTAGACATTCATCTGGAATCTTTACTAATTGGTCATATCTAACATTCAAAAAAATGGAACAAAAGGCCTAAAATAAATGCCAGAAAAAGGCATGTGAGTTCTGTATCTGATTTATTGTTCATGACTGGCATCTCTAGGAAAAGATTCTTCGTTGTCCATATACAGACTGAATTCCATACAGTTTAAAGTTGATAAATGCAAAACTGTTTCATGGCTAAGTCTGTTGTTTGGGATTTTGACTGTCTGAATATGTATACACTCCCTTCTTTGATATTTAAGCCTCCTTCCCTTAAATCTGGTTTGAAGAGTTGCATCTCTTATTTTATTGAAAGGTCCTTCCCTAGAAAGTTAAATATATATTTGACACTTGTCAACGGCCAGCTTGTATAAAACTTTCTGCTTATTTTTGCCAAGTTAAATAACTCCTTTCATACTAAAAGGACAGAAAGGACTCATTTGTTTGATATCTTCACATAGTCCTGGTGGGAACTCATAATGTACACAGTGCTGGTCTTGAACTCAGAGATTTGCCTGCCTCTCTCTCCCCAATGTTAGGATTAAATGCATGTTCCACCATGCTGGACCTGAAAATGAAGAGGTGGGTATCTATTATATTATTATATAATCTTTATGTAGCAAAACTGCACAATTGAGCTTTTAGTCACACAAGCAAAAAGGTGGGGAAATGTGCTTTTGAATGGCACTTAAGTTCTAATTCTGAAAAGAGCATCCTCATTCATGCATGGGAAGTGTATAACTCTGCACACCTAACTCAGTAGTTAGAAGTACATACCTTGCTTGATTACAAAGTGCAAAAAACTCAATAATGTAGAAAGCTCCTGTACTAGTACAAAACTTGGCAGCATAATCTGTTCATTGTTTGCTTCCTAGATTCCGAATCCTTTTAGACAGATGGAGCCATCTCAATTTCTGTATAAACTTACTTTCTGGACCTCTTACTTTTGCTCAACCTGAAGAACCTACCTAAACCTTCCAAGTCAACTGACCTCTATGGGTTGTACTTCAACAGATGTAGTGCCCTTTTAAGAAACAGTGTCTCAGAATGGAGCAAACACAGTAGCTGTGATAAGGAATTACAATAACAGGAAGACTCTCAAGGATAGGGAAACCAGCAATTAAGATGTATTTGGAAGGAAATAATAACATATCTGTGGCAAAGGCAATGACGGGACAGGATGGCATACAAATCTCAAAGCTAAAATTGAAAAGAAAAAAGGAAGAAAAGGAGGGGTCCATCAAATTAGATGTTTACAAGACTTAACACAGACTAGAGTAGAAATGGCAGTGGCAAAGGGCTTGTGTAGGGCATTCTAAAGGCATGGCCTATACGTGGGGTGCTAGCTGTGTGAAACCTATTTAAGACTGAGCAGAACATCCACCACCACCCTTCCTCACTGCCTCTTTCATGTACCTGAAAAGTTTTCAGCTCTCTGCAGGGCTTCTTGGAGGTTCACGTTCTGTTGCAGAAGTTCTTCCTGCTCTTTGGATTTCTCCTTCAGCTCCAAGGTAAGGGTGTCTATAGTTTCCTTGAGTTTCTTCTCTGAAGCATTTGCTGCTTGCTGCTGGGCTAAGATCTGTCCCTTCAGGATATGTTCTTGGTGAGTAAGGTTTGCTTGGTATTGCTTTAGGAGGTCAGATACCTGGAGTACTAAACCACAGAGAATTAAAACTCAGCCTCTCCTCTCTAGTACAAACGCTGTTACTGAATGCCCAGAACATTAAATCACAGACTTAAATAGCCTATCTTGACAGCATGTGTTGACAAAAAATGCTTTATGAATTTGAACAGCAATGGAGAAATAAATGTACTTGAAAGGCTGCTGCAGCATAGGGCTCAAAAGAAAATCCACACAGTGTTAGCACATACTAGACATTTTTATCTGAGGGGTTAGAGAAAAAGACAGTCACAAGTCTCTTGATGGTTGCTTTCAGACCTTCCTTTGTTCTTCTTTTGCATCTCTGCTCTTTGTTTTCTTGGTGATTTCCTTCTCTCCTTCTTGAAACTTTCCTTCTAACTCTTTTTTTTCCTTTCTAGTTCCTTTTAACTCTACCATTCTTGATGTTGCACTTCTAACTCTCATTCTTGGTGTCTTCCTTCTAGCCCATTTTAACTCTATCTTTATTCTTTTTCTTATAACTTAAATATTGCAACAAAATCTTACAAACTGTAATATAAATATAAATTTTATATTATATATAAAAATTACCATGTGCTTGCATTATTTTTAAGTGAAAATTTCAAGTGAATGAATACAAGTAAAAATAGCATGTTTTCAACATCTCTTACAAGAGTAAACATATATAACAGGTAGAAAGCAAATTACCCAAGAATCCACTTACATTCATATCCAGTCAACTTCCTATAGATTACCATTTAGGCAAGCAAGATATTCTCAGTCAGGTCCTTACTGGCAAGCTGCAGTTTTGCAGTTAAAAAAAAGGACCAGTTACTTTATTACTTATCTTGAAAGGTAATCATATAAGGAAACTAAAAGGAATCACAAACCTAAACTTTTAAATATGAAAAAGAATCAGGCAGTCCTACTTTAAGTCTTTAGTTTCTTATATCAGGAGATTGAGGGCAAAAACGGGCACAAAGAAGTAATCATATCCTTTGATTACCAAGCAAGCCCAGCAAAGAAAATGTAACAACTAGCAACAATTGAAAGTCGCTTTGTGTTGTTGAACCTATAATTCCGCTATGTGTCCTTGTGAACTTCAGATTGTCTTCTGTTTTTTTTTTTTTCATCTCAAAGCTATTACCAAAACCTTTGATCTATTCTGAAGTTATTTTAAGGTTTTGTTTCAACTCATGATACACACCAAAACTTGTAAATACATCATTCAATACTAAGAGAATTAGAGACAGTCTGGTTCCTGAGGACTCAATTATTTTCCTTAAATCATTAACCTGAACTGCAATCTTGTTCAGCTCCATAGGTGAATTTCATAGTCTCTAGCTGTGTGACAATTCCTTGTATCTATTTTTAATCACCAGAACTCTGTATAAACTAATACTACTATTATCAATTAGACAGTATAATTTAGGAAGGAATTATCTTCATAATGATCCACAGGTTAAAAAACAGCAATAGAGGGGCCGGAGAGATGGCTCAGAGGTTAAGAGCACTGACTGCCCTTCCAGAAGTCCTGAGTTCAATTCCCAGCAACCACATGGTGGCTCACAACCATCTGTAATGAGATCTGGCACCCTTCTCTGGCATGTGGGCATACATGGAGGCAGAATGTTGTATACATAATTAATAAATAAATCTTTAAAAAAAAACAGCAATAGAGTAGGGTGTTTCCATGAGATAAACATACTACATTACAGACAGTGGACATCTCACCCCACCCATTAGCACATACCAGATAACAGAGGAAGATGGCAGGGGCAAATATGTAAAGTAACAGCAAAAGAAAGATACTCTGTGGTCTATGATTTCAGGACCTTGCCTATCCAAGATTCACCATCAAGGATGCTCCTCCTGGTGTGTTAACATCCTGAAGTCAATTGTCACCTACTGCTTCTCTGACATGGTCACCAGCGTGACACTAGTCAAAAGTCAGTTTTTCTAAAACTTTCTGATTTTTTTTCAAAGTTAAATTGCCCCTTTAATACTGAAAGGGTTTATTTGTCTATTTATTTGTCTATGTAGCCCTGGCTGGAACTCACTATGTAGACAATGCCAGTCTTGAACTCAGGGATCTACCTAACTCTGTCTCCCCAATGTTAGGATTAAAGGTATGTTCCACCATGCTGGGCCTGAAAAGATTTACAAACTGAGTAACTTTACATCAAACCACACATTATCATTATTGTTAAAATCTATCCTCCTCTCAACATTTTTGTCTATACAAAATAAAGTGGCTATCCATACATTACTATATAATATTTACTTAACAAAACTGCACAACTGAACTTTTAGGCAGACAAGCAACAAGGTGGGGAAGTGTACTTTTGAAAGGTGCTTAAGTTCTAATCCTGAAAAGAGCATCCTCATTCGTGCACTCCCCAAGAAAGGGTTGTCTGACTCTGCACACCTAACTCCGTAGTTAGAAGCATATACCTCGCTTGATTACAGAGTGCAAAACACTCAATAATGTAGAAAGTTCCTGTACTAGCACAAAACTTGGCAGCATAATCTGTTCATTGTCTTCCTACATGGTCTGTTCCCTAGATTACAAATCCCTTTAGACAGATGGAGTCATCTCAATTCCTATACAAACTCACTTTCTAGACCTTTTATTTTTGCTCAACCTGAAGTACCTACCTAAACCTTCCAAGTCAACTGACCTCTATGGGTTGTACTTCAACAGATGTAGTGCCCTTTTAAGAAACAGTGTCTCAGAATGGAGCAAACACAGTAGCTGTGATAAGGAATTACAATAACAGGAAGACTCTCAAGGAAAGGAAAACCAGCAATTAAGATGTATTTGGAAGGAAATAATAACATATCTGTGGCAAAGGCAATGACGGGACAGGATGGCATACAAATCTCAAAGCTAAAATTGAAAAGAAAAAAGGAAGAAAAGGAGGGGTCCATCAAATTAGATGTTTACAAGACTTAACACAGACTAGAGTAGAAATGGCAGTGGCAAAGGGCTTGTGTAGGGCATTCTAAAGGCATGGCCTATACGTGGGGTGCTAGCTGTGTGAAACCTATTTAAGACTGAGCAGAACATCCACCACCACCCTTCCTCACTGCCTCTTTCATGTACCTGAAAAGTTTTCAGCTCTCTGCAGGGCTTCTTGGAGGTTCACGTTCTGTTGCAGAAGTTCTTCCTGCTCTTTGGATTTCTCCTTCAGCTCCAAGGTAAGGGTGTCTATAGTTTCCTTGAGTTTCTTCTCTGAAGCATTTGCTGCTTGCTGCTGGGCTAAGATCTGTCCCTCCAGGATATGTTCTTGGTGAGTAAGGTTTGCTTGGTATTGCTTTAGGAGGTCAGATACCTGGAGTACTAAAGCACAGAAAATTAAAACTCAGCCTCTCCTCTCTAGTATAAACGCTGCAGTATAAACGCTGTCAACACAGACTCAAATAATCTCTCTTCTCAACATGTGAGTGTTGACAGAAATGCTTTATAAATCTGAACAGCAATGGAAGAACAAATGTACTTGAAAGGCTGTGGGGCAATTACCGAAATTTATTCAGAATTTATGGACCTTGAAGTTATTCAATTTTGTTTTTGTAATTGCATATCTATTGCAATTTTCATTATAACCATGCAGATATTTCTTAATAAAAATTTAACAGCTTTATTTTTGTTGAGATTTATACACAAAATAAATGTAATAGTGGGAGTGGTAATAAGGTGCAGGTAGTGGCAAAAGGATGTGGCAAAGGGGTGACAGGTAGGGTTATAACTCAATGGGGGAGGGCTTAGTCAGCATGCTAAAGCCCCTGGGTTCTATGTTTAGTTTGGAGAGAAAAAAAATAAAGGCAAAGGATGAGGATGAGCTCTGCAGATCCTACCCCTACTTGAGGAGCTATCGGCAATTGGTTGCTGCTGGAAAGGAAGAGTCAGTTTTCTTCATGAATGTTGTTCGTGTGAGACTCCCTATGCTCCAGCAGATGGCCCTATACTCATGCCCAGACAGGCAGCAGTAAGTGGTTTAAAAATTAAAAGCAGAACACATGAAATTCAGAGGAAAAGGAGGGTTGTGGGAGAAGAATGGGGATGTGCTTGATCAAAATGGATTATATATATATGAGTGCGAAATTCTCAAACAATAAAGAAGTAAAATAAAAATTTTTAAGTAATGAAAAGGTGAGAAATAAAAAAGAAGACCCTAAAATGTATGCTCATGGAGGGCCCCAGAAAGGGGAAATAGTTAAAATCTCCTGGGTAAACTGGGAGGGAGATGGGGGATAGAAACATGAGGGACCGAGATGGTTGAGTTGGGGGAGAGATGGAGATGGAGAACAACGAAAGAGATAACTTGATAGACGGAGGCATTATGGGGCTTGGGAAAAACCTGGTGCTAGGGAATTCTCAAGAATCCACAAGGGTGACTCCAGCTTAGACGCCTAGCAACAGTGGAGAAGGTGCCTGAACTGGCCTTCCCCTATACTTAGATTGGTGACTATCCTAAGTGTCATTATAGAACCTACATCCAGTAACTTATGGAAGCCGATGCAGTGATCCACAGCCAAGCACTGGACTGAGCTTCTGGAGTTCAGCTGAAGAGAGGGAGGAGGGATCACATGAGCAATGGGAGTCAAGATCTTGATGGAGAACCACAGAGACAGCTGCCTACCTGAGCTGCTGGGAGCTCACAGACGCTAGACTGACATCTGGGAAATTGCATGGAACTGAACTAGGCCCTCTGAATGTGGACGGCAGTTATGTTGTTTGATCTGTTTGGGGTGGGGTTTGTGCTGGCAATAGGACCAAGACTTATCCTGGATGCCTAAACTGGATTTTTAAATCCCATTTCCTATGGTGGGATACCTTGCTCAGCTGTGATGCAGGAGGGAGGAGCTTGGCCCTGCCTCAATTTGGTATGCCAAACTTCATTGACTCCCCAAGGGAGGCCTTATCCCCTCTGAGGAGTGGCTGCCGTGTGGGATGGAGGATGTGGAAAGTCATAGAAGGGGAGGAAGGGGGAAATGGGGTTGGTGTGTAAAATGAAAAAAAAAAATTTTTTAAAGTAAGTTAAAAAAAGAAATAGTTGCCGGGCGGTGGTGGCACATGCCTTTAATCCCAGCACTCGGGAGGCAGAGGCAGGCAGGTCTCTGGGAGTTCGAGGTCAGCCTGGTCTACAAGAGCTAGTTCCGGGCAGGCACCAAAGCTACAGAGAAACGCTGTCTCGGAAAAAAAAAAGAAAGAAAGAAATAGTATAATGGAACAGATATAATATTGGCAATCTAGTTACCTCCCCCCTAGACTCTGGTGCACAGGAGGAAATGCCAGTAGCAATTTATTCGCTTATTTCCTCTTTAGCTCTGTCTATACCACATACTTCCTAATTTTATTTAGGAACTTTGCTTTCATTTTTAAGGCAACGACCCATGAAATATTTGTGAATTTCTGTACGGTATCATTGAGAGTAAATTTCATTTGAGACATAGAACAGTTTGGGGTGGTGGAGATGAAACGAGTGTTGTGTAATCAGGCAGAAATGAACTCTGTTTTGGGACTGCAGCTCAGTTCTAATGCAACTTGCTGCTGACCCTCTGCTTCAAGGCCTGATCTGAGTCTGCTGGATAGTGATGGACACCTCACTTCAGACTGCTGCCATCGAGTGGGATCCCCTGCACCTCATTAGGAAAAGCTTCAGGCACCCACAGACAATTTAAAACAAACAAGCAAACAAAAACAAAACAAAAAATTGCCCAGACTTAGACACGTAGGAAACAAGTGGTGCTTCTGGGACCTTGTATTTTGAATCTGACGGGCAGAATAATTCAGTCCTGAAACCTGCAGGCTAATGCAGAGACAACCTTATCTTTACTTCTTGGCCACTCTGGTCTTTTTTTCTCGTGCCTTCTTTTTCCCTCTTAGTATCCCCAATTTCCTACATGTTATAAATTCAAAGTACTTTTTGCTGTTAATGTTTTACCTACTTTAAGGAGGCAATTAAGATTTTTAACAGTTTATCAGATCCATCCAAACGAAGCTAAATGGGTTTTCTTTTCCTCTTGAGTTGCTCAGATAACCCTATGTATTATAACCTTCAAGTTATTATCAAATTATTCTAGAATGCAAATAGGCTCATCCAAGAAATTATGAAACAAAACAAAAACACTCTACTGTGAATAATCTCCCTCCATGCTCCTCTCTGGTGGAGGGAAGAACACAATATATACATTAAACTCTTGGCTTCTTCTCAAAGCATTTTGCCCAAAATAAGTCTAAATCTAGACACACTTATAGTTATTACCAGATGTGTTCATCAAACCCATCCCCCACCTCCAGTTCCTTATTTTAACACTTACATTGCATCCACTGTATAATAAGGGTCACTGATAACCCCAGGCAAACGATGATGAGAACCATAGCAACAGGGCACCACCATGGGGACAAAAGAAAAAGCAAACCTGCAAGGAAGGAGAACCAGAAAATTGAAAACAGCAAAGGCAGATAGATCATCAAGCTGGGCTCTGGATCTTGTCTTGCTCTGTGCCCTGCACGTCTTAGCCCCCTCCCCACCCTCACAGGACCTGCATATGTGCAGGTGGAACGATGGATGGTTATGGAACTGAAGCAAATTGCTCATGGACTGACATGGGATAAAATAACAGCTGGGGTTCAGTGGGGCATCCAACACCAAATACTTGATTCTAAAGCTTTAACTTCATCTGTTCTATGCACAGTGTCCTTGGAAGAACTCTCAGTGCAGCCTAACTCCATCTATGGTGCAGAAAGCCTGACTTTTACATACACATGGACACAGGTATTCCTAAGTAACAGCTGACATTTACACACACATGAGTACGGGTACTCTTAAGTAATATAGTGCAAACTGCTGTCAGACATCAAGCAAAATATTTTAATCAGACACCTGAGATTTCCTCAAGAAATTTTGTGCCTGATATCATACCATTCAATTTTCATTCTAACAAAACTGCCTCTTGAAACTAGAGTTATTTACCAAAGGAAACTAGGGACAAAGCCTTGGTATGCACTTGACTGATAGCAATAGCTTGCCTTGTGCTTAGGTTAAGTGTGGCAAACCCCCTACATTAAGTAGAAAAATAAAACTGAGTGCTCAGTACGGCAGGAGATCATTAGATATTTCCTCTCTGAAGTGTACCGAGTCAGCTAAAAACGTTATTCCAGCTGGGATTCTCATAATGATGGTGGCTGATGTGAAGTAAGATCAGGTATCTAGACCTATTATCTCCAGAGAAAAAGTCGCCTTATTTATGAAAACAAGCCATGCAGCTCTGACGCAAGACATAACTCTGACATGAGAATGTACAGTTATGTATCCCAGTATTGAATAACTACAGGCATTACAGACGCAAGAGAAAAACATCACACGCAATGTATTAGGCTTCCTCCCCTGTAAGACAAACGGAACACTGATAATGTTCTCCTTTCTATGTAAAGAAGAAACCAGAAGCTTCAGTCACTAGCTTGAGAGCACACATACAATAAAACTTAGGAGGTAGATTTTTGGGTTTTATGTTGTTCTTGCTTGAGACAAGATTTACTTTGTAGTCCACATTGTCTTGGAACTCACTAAGTAAACCAGGATGGCCTCAGGCTGGTGAATTTTCTTGCCTCAGCCTCCCTAGTGCAGTACCAGATCTGACTCCAAACACAGGCCTTTAATCTAATACTAGTAAGCCACAAGGCTTGGTGTATTGCATTACCAAGGTTTCGGTATAAATGTGGTAAATGTTCAAGTCAATCAAGGGAAATATATTCACAGAGTTCTCATGTTTTAAGAATCTCTGTTAGACTCTATAGATGCCTTTCTTAAAAGATAGGCATTGTGACTGGAGGAAATACAGCTTATCCTCTGCCTCAACAATTTCTGTCTCTGTACTTGTGCTGAGCTGGGAGGCAATAGAAGAGAGGAATAACTTTTACAAATGGTTACCTAATCCTGGCACCTGGCACCATGTAGCTGTGTGTAAGAACACCTTTATCTTTCACACACTCCAGCACTCATTCAACACTGTAATACCCACGGCTCAAATGAAAACACCAATCCCGTGAGCCACCCATGTGAAACGAAGACGCATATTCCTTTTATCTACAAGATACCTTCCCCCCATCTCAGCGGCAGAAATTTTTGTGGTCTAATTCACCTGACTTACGGATTTTAGTCAGAAAACAACCCTTAGTCAATCAATAAAGAAACAAATACTCCCTCACTGAATTCAGTGCCTAGTACATACAGTTCACAGTAGGTCACTAATCTAACCAGGGACCTTAAAGAATTAGTCATATTTATCGCAAAAGTCAGGCAAGCAATAGTTATTGCACAAATAATGAATGAATGGTTGAACAAATCACTGACTGACATTATCTCCTGAATCTACTGTTAAACACTTGCAATTCTTCACAACAAGCTAGTTCAACTGTTGCTGGGTTTATTACTAAACCCCAGTACTGTCTTCACTCTGAGCTAGTTCAGCCACTCGTATATTAAATCACACCATACTCGCCCTTATTCTACCCACGGAAAGATTCCAGTCTTGTTTACAGACACAGTCTATCTTTCTTCCACTTTCTATGTTTCGTACCCACACCAACCCCCACCTAGACACACACACACACACACACACACACACACACACACTTTCTCTGTGTAGTCCTGGCTGTCCTGGAACTCACTCTGTAGATCAGGCTGACCTGCCCCTGCCTCCAGCCTCCAGACTCCTGGGATTAAAGGTGTGCACCACCACTTCCCAGCCTCTTTTCTCTTAATTTTATAAAATAATAGGCATTTTTCTGTAGTTGTCTACGTAATTGAGCTTATCAATTAAACCTAAGTGGTTCAATTTACTGTATTGGCCAAACATAAACTATAAGTTTTCTAAGCAATGATAGACAACCAAGTCTAATGTGTGCTCAGCCATACTGAATATACTGAATCGCTTTAGATAATTCATAAAGCACTTCAGATTTTTACAGTACTTTAACAACACATATAAAAATACTGTGTGCTCTGGATGAAAGCATTCCCTATAGTTTTTCTTTATATGGTTCCACAAAAATAAACGACTTCATTAATCCTGATTCTGGCTTCGCTCTCTGTAGAGGGAGATAATATCGGCAGCACTCTTGAAGCCTACAGGATAATGAGAAGTCACTAATGTAAAGAGATAACAGCTTACAGCAAAGATGTAGCGAAGGCAAGTTATTAGCTTGAGTTCTGCTTGCTGTTCTTCTAAATAAGTAGTATTAGCCTCTTGTATTTCCTGATATTCTAATGTTTTTGCTTTTTAAAGTCATTCTCCTGAGCATTTAATTTGAATTTCTAAGCTGAGCTGGCATTCTGTCTCTGTAAGCACCCGCCCATCCCTGGTACCTTTAGCCTTCTTATGACATGACTTCTGGTCAGGCTGCTCGTTCACAGACTTCATCTTGCCATCAAAAGTCATTTCCAAATTCATGCCAAAAATGAGAAGCTGAAGCAGTCAAGGACCTCAACCAACTGCCAGTGAGTGAGCTTCTGGTGCAGTTTAAGTAGCTGTTCTTATCTAGCAGGGGATGACTCAACCGTCACAGGAGGAAGGGGAGACTTTGCTTCATATTGGAAAGTTGGCTAACACGAATTCTTAGGCTGTGTCTGTTGTGGGTGGGGAGAATGGTAATTCCAGTCCTGTTTCGTGACCTATCCCTAAGAAACAGACAGCAGGCAAAAATGCAGTGTCCACGACAATTATAGGAAAGACACTGTAGACTTATCAGATAAGCTTCTTTGAAGCTGAAAGAAGCACACGCTTCAAGCCAGGTTCGTAGAAAGGAATGTGACTTAATTTTCCACATTTTTCTGTTTGCTGATTCACTCAAGCAGATTGTCGCTGTATGCTACCTTTTTATAAGTAGTACGTTTTACTTTTCATTACTTTGACAATTAGAAATGTAATATAAATCATGGAAGATTCCCATGTCTAGCCATAGTACCATGGGTATAAGGCTCATTAGGGGCAGTCTTGACCACCGGGACTCTCAACAACAGCATGAGCCCTTTGGTACTAAATAGAGTAAGGTTTTTTTTTTTTAATTTTTTTTTATAAATCTTTTATTTAGATTTGAAAAGTACTGAAACATCATTACTATTCCAGGAATGCATGGAAACGCATCAGGACCTAGTTGAATTGCAATGATGCACGTTTGGTAAGGAAATAAAGGCAAGAAAGGCCATCTGATCATTTCAATACAGAGAGAAAGCATTTCATAAAACCTAATGGACTCTGTCGTATTAGATTGTTGGAAACAAATAGCACTCAACAAGACAGCCACAAGCATAGGAAACAAACACCGGAAGTACTGAAGACACAAAAGACAACAAAGATATATTCAAGAAGGTGTCAACGAGGGTATCTTAATAGTCAACCAAAGAAGCAGAAAAGCATCAGAGACTAGAAAAGTTGACAAGTCACCTAGCTTAACAGACATCAAAGAACATTCCACCCAATATCATCATGACAGAAAGTATTCCTGGTGCTCAGAACTTCTAGACCAGGGTTTTGCTGTCCAACTCATGCTGGTTCCAAATTCATAATCCTTTGGCTCAGCTTCCCAATGTTGGGCTTGAGGTTAGATATGCTATCACATTTGGCTATAATTATTTTTCTTATTTCAATTAATTATAGCCAAAGTAAATGATTTCAGTATTTTAAAATCATTTTGTGGTCATTGTTCTGTGACAAAACCTTATTCTGTATCACATGCTGGGTTGGAACTCTCTTTTTACCCCAGGCTGGTTTAGACTCAGCAATTCTCTTTCTTTATCCTCCCAAGTGCTCTGAGTACAGCTGTCATGATTCTCCTTCAACACTTTCAAATTTCTTGATGCTTTTTTTTAGAGTAAGGTTTTATATCTTCTCCTGAATCTGTCATCTTGGAAAAATGCTTATATTGAATTTATATATTTGTCTGTGATTTGAGGATAATGTATATTTTGATAGTGTTTCAATAGCCAGCTGTAGTGGCGTAAGCCTTTAATTCCAGCACTTAGTGTGGGAGGTACAGAACCAAGTGGATTTATATGAGTCCAAGGCCAACCTGGTTTAAAATACTGAGTTCCAGGATAGCAAAGTCATTATAGTGAGTCTTGTCTCAAAAAAAAAAAAAAAAAAAAGGAATTATAATATTTCAATAAGAACTTAAAAGATATTGTGAGAAATGTAGGTGGGCATAAAACTCAGAAATAATAGGTTAAACTACTATTAATCCTTATATCCAGGATAGTTACATTGACCATAATAAAATATGTTTTAGTCTGACCAACACTTCCTGGGATTTTAACCCCTATACCTGTCCATAGAGGGAATCTTCACTTGTTTTCTCATCATGAAATGATATATCTTTTTGAAATAATTTATATTTTTCGCGCGAGTGTGTGTGCACGTTTGCTTGTATGCATGCACAACACAGGTATAATATGGAGGTCAGAGGACAACACAGGTATTGATAGGCCCAGGTCGCCCACTGATTAAACAAAGGTCACTTAATTGCTGATGCATGCTCCAGGCTAGCTGATCTGAAAGATTCCATGATCCTCTCCTATCTCTGCCCTCCAACTCACAGTAGGAGTATTGAGATTACAGACAGGGGAGTCTGTAATGGGCATTAACTGAGTTCTGGAGATCCTATCTTAAGTCCAGTCCTTGTGTGAGACTTTGTAAAAAGGAATCCCTTACCTGCTAAACACGTTTTTCTGGAGTTTGTGTGTGTGTATACGATTCTACAGTAGCTAAATTTTGTTTTAAACCACTTAGAGAAAAAGTGGAGTGGGGAAAGGGAGAGATAATGGGTAAGGCGTCTAGGAAATCACATAGGAAAAACCACCAATCCTGACAGTGTATATGATTCTTTGTCCTACCTCCATGCTGAGCGTTTTGTTTTCCCTCTTCCTGTGTAGGATATCCAGCACAAGCTGAGAACATCTTTTCTGCCATTTAAAGTTTGCTTCTTCACACAGTTCACAAAACAGCCGACAGAGCCAACACAACCTTATCCAAGATAAAAACAAAAAGCAATGCCTCCCTTACCTACTCCCCTGTTTCCGAGCTGAGGAGTGAATGCCAGGAATTGACTGTATTCCTCAATTTCCAAAGTGGACTTTTCAGTTTCACTTTCACTAAGATTCAGTAGAATCTCAGAAAATTTCTTATAATGATGAATTAATAATCCTTGAAATGGCTGTACAATGAGAAGGATGCTTTATTATTCCCACAGTGACTCATTTATCTCAGACACTATCAATACCGAAGAATATAAACTACACAATGACTGATATTTTAGCTACTGAAGATGTACTGCCTAAGGTCGCGCTAAGTCCATTCACATTGTCATACAGCTGTCACCACCACCCACTGCACAGTGTTCCCATCTTTTCTCACTGAAAATGTTCCCACAGTTCTCACAGTTCTCACAGTGATGGTTCATTCTACTTCCTGCCTTGTCTGGATCACTTGATACCTAGATAAAATGTTTGGGAATAGAGGTTAATACTGTATACCTATTTCCTCTAAATTGAAACATTTCTTTGTGGATGAGGGAAGGGTGGAATAAATTCTTTGGTCCGTCCTTGTTTCCCTGTCTGTGGTGAACAAATTTTGTTCACATCCCGCCATGAAAAATCACACATCAATCAATTAGTAGAGATAGATGGCCTATTTATATTTTGAAAGAGATTCATTCAAAATATGAAGGCCAAAAGAACAGAAGCAACTATACTCCACTGTGTAAAGAAACATTTTCTAACATATGACCTTTGGGCTTCGGTTTCAGCACCTGCTCTTTCTGGTCTTTATACTGGTCTTTGCACTGGAATTAGACCCTCCCTTGATTCTTCTGCATCCTCATTTTCCTAGGTAGCTCTGCAGGTTTCGACTAGACAACCCCTATAGTCACATGAAACAATCTCATCTTAGAAACTTCTTTCTTCATATCCACGCATTCCATCAATTCTTCTTTTCTGAAACATTCTATTGGCCACTCCCCCTCCTCCTTGAAATCAACCCTGTATTTTCTGTCCCTTGAATTTTGATACTGTACTTTGTCCCAGATTTCTAATTCCTGAACAAACTATCTGAGGTAATGAATACACAAGGAGGAAGGCTTTATATTGACTTTTGGTTTCAGAAACATCATCAATCAATAGTCAATCATCTCCAATGGTTTTGAACCTGTGGTGAGACAGAAAATCAGCATGAAAAAATGCTCAGCTTGTAGAGCTAGGAAAGTAGGCAGTCTCATTCAAGGACCTGTTCTAGAACCTCTCTTTGGTCCTACAATCTCCTAACAGTGGGCACAGACTGGAAACTAGTCCTTCAACACTTGAGCCTTTGGAGGACATTCAGTCTATATTACCTCACGTTAGTAAAAGAATCTGCCAGTTTTCTTTTCATGTTTGAGTTAGTTTGCTGAAAATTGTGTCTTCAAGTTTCATTCATATTACAGCACAGCTTAGAATCCCCTTTCTTTATGTAGACTACTGTATTTTATCTTTTCACTTCTTGATGTGTTTATCTTGTTCTCTCTCTCTCTCTCTCTCTCTCTCTCTCTCTCTCTCTCTCTGTGTGTGTGTGTGTGTGTGTGTGTTTGCGTGTGTGTTTGTGTGTGTGTGTGTGTGTGTGTGTGTTGCTCTTGATACAGGGTCTCACTATGTAGTCCTGGTTCAAACTCACAGAGACCCTCTTGTCTCTGCCTCCCAAGTGCTAGAATTAAGGTGATGCCACACCACCACACTCGGCCTTTTCTCTTGCTCCCAAACATCTTCAGAGATAAGTTTCCAAGAAACTGTAAAGACTTAAACGAATACAGGATGCTCCATGACCCCTACCTCCTGGTGTCACAGCTTCTCTTTGAGGATGTATTCTCAGTGCTATAACTTAAAATGTAGCAAAGGTCAAAGAATGCAGGTGGTCATGCAGAAGGAATTACTTCAGTAGCATGATGAGTGTGCTGAAACCTCTCTTCCTGTGTCTGTCTCCACACTCATCATTAGAATGTAAAGAAATGTTTATTAGTTGCCTAAAGTTCTTTGTCCATAAGTGGGGTCCTGTGAGACTTCCCACTTTCAACTCTATTGTCCTTGTTGAGGTCTAGTTTAGGCACTGTGCTTTCAAGGTTCCATGAGTGATACTAATGTTGAGAGAGGGAGAAATAAACTTCTCCATGGATGAGCTCCCTCACTGATTATCCAACACCAAGTGGTCAGTCCTGAAATCAGTCAACCATGTTCATACAAGTAATACTAAATGGAATGAGCAGGAAATTATGTATTATATTTCAACTAAATCTTTTTAAAGTATGATTACATTAATCCCATAGCCACTAAGAAATACATTCTACCTAAGAGAGCTTCCAAGTGGGCCCTCTACCATGACAGCCTTCTGACAAGAATGCTGTTAACCAGACACCTTGATGTCAGCCTTATAGAATTCCAAGCAATAGACTCAGCTAAATTGTATACAGACTTCTTGCCCTGCTGGGAATGCTACTCATAGTGTGGTGTGTGTGTGTGTGTGTGTGTGTGTGTGTGTGTGTGTGTGT